CAGTATATTATTTATTATTGAAACTTTTATTTCTTATTTGTTTAAGGAAAAATAAGATGTATATGTCTTTCTTATGTCGATTAGAAATTCTACTTCTGCACTATGCACTATATTATTTATTATTGAAACTTATTTCTCATTTCTTTATTTCTTATTTGTTTAAGGAAAAATAAGATGTATATGCTTTTCTTATGTCGAGTAGAAATTCTACTTCTGCAATGTACGGTATATTATTTATTATTGGAACTTAATAATAAAACCCTTGAACGTCCATTTGTTTAAGAAAAAATAAGATGTATATGCTTTTCTTATGTCGAGTAGAAATTCTACTTCTACACTATGCTGTATATTATTCATTATTGAAACTTATTTCTCATTTCTTTATTTCTTATTTATTTAAGGAAAAATAAGATGTATATGTCTTTCTTATGTCGATTAGAAATTCTACTTCTGCACTATGCACTATATTATTTATTATTGAAACTTATTTCTCATTTCTTTATTTCTTATTTGTTTAAGGAAAAATAAGATGTATATGTCTTTCTTATGTCGATTAGAAATTCTACTTCTGCAATGTGCAGTATATTATTTATTATTGAAACTTATTTCTCATTTCTTTATTTCTTATTTATTTAAGGAAAAATAAGATGTATATGTCTTTCTTATGTCGATTAGAAATTCTACTTCCTCACTATGCAGTATATTAATTATTATTGAAACTTAAAATTCACGCTCTTGAACTCTCGTTCGTTCTTCAAAAAGTGAGATATACAGTGATTACAGTGTATCAATAAAAAATTCTAACTACAAAATATCATACCTTTCACTATATATAAAATGATATCGAAGAGATTCCAGATGCTCCGATCGATCAATGCTTAACATTTAATTCCCTGAACGAGCGATCTAAACAAATTCGTCTGTTTCTTATAAAAATAATTTATATTAATATTCTAGAAATATTCGTCGAAAGATTGCTAAAAAAATTAAGCAACAAGAATTTTGTTCGAGATTAAATAGTGAATTTTAGAAATTTGTAAAATTATTCCACACGATGGAAACATACTAAATGAGACGTCGCAATTAGAGACAAGGAATAAACAGGATTATAGGAAGTGGAGAGAGGCGTTCCGGGTTTGGTCAGTTTATTTCACTGCAAACCTGTCATCCTTGAATAAGATGCTGCGTGGGAGGATCGAGCGGCGCCATTCCTCGCGATGGATACCTGCTTGATGTCTGTATTCATCGGCGAGCCGCTCGTTTTCAACTCTTTCTCGATGAAATGATTCACTAGCGAAACGTACGAATTATTTGCAACATTGAACGTGTTCGATAGAATACTCTTTGATTAACGTAATCATATCTTACGTTGATTGTCTCCGAACATTTTTAATTACTCGCCACTCTTTATCATTTTTCTTTCTTTTATCTTTTTTATTTCATTTATTGAAATTATTTGGCGTTTTAATTTAACGCGATTAATGTTATTTGTTAATTAAGTCGAAATTACTTGGCAAGTAGCAATTTCCTTCGAAGAAAAAACCAGGAATATTATTTGATTTATTTCGCAGGGAAGCTGAATTAGTCGAATATTTCTCTGTAAATTAATTATAATCAAATGCTAAGGATCGAGAATTTTATTTCTGCCGCCGCCGAGAAAAAGATATTGTACTTTAAACAATTATTTCTATACTTTCACTCGTCGAAGATAAGTTACATATACTAAGATTTTGATGGGTTAAAATCAATTTGTATTTGAAATTGACTCATCTCCGTAAACTCTCAATTTTACGATCGCAAAAGTTTTTAACTAAATAACATTATATGCATGGAATATTAGATTTCATGAAGAAAAAACCGCCCTAAAATGGTTCAATAGTAATGCACACGTAAAACACACTTTCATTGTCGTTATTCTTTGCTATTACACCATTTCACGTCTCACTTGCTATTATACGACGAGTCGAATACGAAAAAGACAGAAAACACGTATCGACGAAGCTGGAATAATCAGAGCAAAGATCATTCGTAAGAATAATTTTTTAAATCGTTAGGGAAAAAATCATAGACGAGAAAGTCGTTTAAACGATAGAGAGAGGGATCGCTAAGTGCCGAAGAAATTTGTGAAAAAATTCCAGAACCGAGGAACATTCATTTCGAGGTATTCGAGTTACGTTTCGCTTGCTACGCGCAGCGAATAAAAATAAGGGAAAGACACCTGCATACTGACAAAGCGAGAATAAACAGAAGAAATATTATTCATACTTTTTGCGTTCCTTCTATCAAACTTCTTCTATTCACCTTGCCCTGGTCGTTAATGGCCTGGGCATTCAGACGCGACCGAATCTCTATTTTATTTAAAACAAAGCTTCATGGTGGCGTTAATCAGGAATTACAAGAGAACGAGACGCGGACGTGTCGTGTTTTCATTTCCATCTCGGGCTTCCTCTCCTCTCCGTCCATTCACGCGATTCTGCGAAACAGAAAAGGAGGAGAGAAAAAAGATAGAAGAAGAAGGAAGAACGTTAGACGACAGAGTTTTCACATTTAAGATGCCGGCAACGGGTCAATGAAAGAAGTGGCGGACGTCTTTTTCAGCCGGCCGGTTCCTGCCTATCTGTCTCCCTTTTCCCTGTTACACGTCGCGCTCGCCTCTTCTTCCCCTCGCCGCCAGCAAAGGAGAAGGGTGCTTTCAGCTGGAGACGCGTTTAACGTCGTGAAACAGATAAACGATGAATCACGACGGGGTCGCGTCTTCGAAATTTATGGTACGGAACGACTGCCACGGCCCGAGAGAGGCGTATTTGTTCCAAAGTAGCTGCTCCTCCACGCAGCCGGCGGAATTTTCTGATTTTTGTCGCGAATCGTTGCGCATTTTCGTCATCTAGGACGACTATCGACGTTTCCCCAACGAAGGTGCTTCCGCGAATGCGAATTTGAACCTGCGAGGAGAACGTTCTCACATCCAGCGGATGAGAAAATCCACGACTTACCGAAATTCATTAAGGAAAGTAGGGTAACCAGTAAAATACTTCAACCTGGAACGCACCAGCCTACGGTGTCGTTGCTAATAACCGCGTTATTCAGATCACGTTAAACCTTAATCAACAAAACAGGATGGTTTTCCCTCTTAGGAACAAAATTTTAAGATTTTTTATCCTAAACGATTGCGTACTTTCGTTTTCAAACGAGCAACGTCAGAGAAATTTTGTCGGGAATATTTCGTAGATGGAAATCTTGGGAAAGTTCAGAAGCTGTGCGGATATCTCTCCTTCCTTTGGCAACCAATTTGTGGAATGCGACCGATAGATTGTTATCATAAATCGATGTATATCATAAATAGGACAGTTTACTAATTGAAAAAGGTAGACCTGTTACTTGCTAGTCACTCTTCTGTCAAAGCAGCACGAACAACCACTGAAACGCACTCTCCAAAAGACTCGCTAGTCACCAGCAATCAGAATCGTCAACGTGAAAGAAGAATCAACTGGAAACGGATCAAAGTTGGCGTATCGTTTGCTAAAACATGAGCCATTTAATCCACGATGCAAAAACATGTGCGTGTCGCCCTCAAACAGACGTACGCTACTCGGCAACTCATTTCGTTCGATTGACAATCTGTGCGGGCTGTGCGCCGTACCTAGCAATCTTCGACGAAAATACGGGGCCGGTAAAAAATAATGACTGTTATCGTTCCACGATATCAGAGCAAATACATGTCGTTTAACCGTGCACGATGCGTTCTTGTTTGCTTTCGAGGGACGAGGCTCGCTGCTGCACTCGTTCTCACTATGGACGTAATTTTGGGGATGGGCCGGCTGCACAGGGTAAAGAACAGACACGAAGGGAGCGAAGAAGAGGGGAAGAGAGAGAGGAGGAGGCGGGGTGACGTCCTTTCTAGTCGAATATCGGGGTTGGCAGCGTAAGTTCGCCCCTCGACAAAGAGGGCATTTCCATCGGCTTACCCCAACGAGAAAAGGGGGCCGATGGGAGCACAGAGAGAGAGTGGGCACTTTTGGACGCGCTGCTCTTCCGGAAAACGCGTATTGGAGATCGGCCAAATATCGCGAAACGCCGCCCGTGGATGTTTAAATGGACAATTAACGCGTGTTCCCTAACCACCGGCCAAAGTGCGTTTTGCAATCGAAGACGAGGCAACCGTATTCGCCGTCCTCTTGTCGGGACACCATGTGTCTTTGTGGCTGGAGTTCATTAGAGCCTGGCAATTCCAGATTAGATAATTCCAGCTAGAAATTTGGGCAGGAGAATAACTTGTAATTGGACGATAGAAGTCTAAGTTTTCAATGGGTTTTGAGAAACCATGGGCCTTCCCCAGCTTCCTCGACTGGAACTTGTTGCAGTCTGGGAATTTGAGGTTAGGCAGTTTGAGCTACAGATTTGCAGAAGGGAACAACTTGTAATTGGACGATAAAAGATTTGCTTTTTAGCTGGTCTAGGTTTCCAATAGATTTTGAGAAACCATGGACCTTTCTCAGCTCCCTCGACTGGAACTTGTTGCAGTCTGGGAATTTGAGGTTAGGCAATTTAAGCTACAGATTTGCAGAAGGGAACAACTTGTAATTGGACGATAGGTTTGCTTTTTATCTGGTCTAGGTTCTCAATAGATTTTGAGAAACCATGGACCTTTCCCAGCATTCTCAAATGGAACTTGTTGCAGTCTGGGAATTTGAGGTTAGGCAATTTAAGCTACAGATTTGCAGAAGGGAACAACTTGTAATTGGACGATAGGTTTGCTTTTTATCTGGTCTAGGTTCTCAATAGATTTTGAGAAACCATGGACCTTTCCCAGCATTCTCAATTGGAACTTGTTGCAGTCTGGGAATTTGAGGTTAGGCAGTTTGAGCTACAAATTTGGAGAAGGGAACAACTTGTAATTGGACGATAGAAGGTTTGCTTTTTAGATGATAGAAGGTTTTTCTGCTCTAGGTTTCCAATAGATTTTGAGAAACCATGGACCTTTCCCAGCATTCTCAAATGGAACTTGTTGCAGTCTGGGAATTTGAGGTTAGGCAGTTTGAGCTACAAATTTGGAGAAGGGAACAACTTGTAATTGGACGATAGAAGGTTTGCTCTTTATCTGGTCTAGGTTCTCAATAGATTTTGAGAAACCATGGACCTTTCCCAGCATTCTCAAATGGAACTTGTTGCAGTCTGGGAATTTGAGGTTAGGCAGTTTGAGCTAGATGCTTGGAAAGGAGAAACATTTGCGACTGGATATGTTTTTTATAAGGAGAATTGAAGAATATTGGTCTTTTGTGGAATCAGAATCTTATTAAATAATATCGTGTATGCTATTTCTTCCAATGACTTTTTGCTACAAAGCTTCACGATTGTTTATAAAGAAATGTTGCCAAGAATAAATTTTTCTTAGATTTGGAAGATATGTTCGTATATATAAATTGTGCATTGGTATGCAAATGTACAATTCTTTGGAATGACAACAGTAACTTGAGCTTGCTAGTTGGCCTCATACTTTGGCCAGCATAGTCTATATATAACTGAACTCACAAGTGAACTGTTCTAACAATAGCATTCACATTCTCATACTCTTACTATACTTCTACGTAGATAAGGAAACCGATGATTTCATTGAAAAACAAAAAAAAATGCTCTTATACTCGATACGCAAACTTCATTGAATCTGTAGGAAAATCTCAATAGAAACCTCATTAGATTTTCATAATTGTACACGTAATTGTATTGTAAAATTGAACTCGACTCCATTCTAGCTCGTTTTTGCCACTGTCCTTCTAAAATTATTATTCCATTACTATTGTGTGTTATTTCTCGTGATTTATTATTTATATTCTATTACTGCGATATTATAACCAGTCCAAATAATTGTTATTGCTATTGACCAGTTAATTTACATAATTTAGTAACATTCGTTGACGTGTCAGTCTCGTTAATGGGCAAACCAGTGATTTTTAATCGACATTGCTCGTTACGGATCTTCTATTCGTTTTTTATCCAGCTAATTGCTCGCTCGGTGGGCCGAGTAACTCAAAAAGATTTGCGCCATCGATAATGCGTTATCGGCGACGAATAAAAATTATCTCACGAATAATGCAAAACATTTTGCCACATATAGCGGTCATCAACCAAACGAAAAACCAAAGATATTCCGATCATTCGTAAAGTTTATTCGTAACACGTTGCGGTCACTGTTGTGCAACTTGGAAAAGGTCAAGAACCACCACGCCGAAGAATCGTCGAATATCCTGGCGGGACCACGGCGGAGCCGCGCGACTAGCGAAAGCTGCGAAACGCTAATCGCGTAACAGAGTACAGCGGCAAATTGGAAACCAGCCAGACATTATGAAACACAGGGCTGAACGTCGGCGTAGAAAATATTCGAACGAAGAAATTGAACGATACGTTTGACGCGCCACTTCTATTCTCGGTGTGGAAAAGGTCTAAAAATACAAAGCCGTGCTGACTAACCAAGAGAATTAAGGCATCGCTGGTGCGGAAATAGCTGCGCTGGAGACCCGCCAAATATCGTAAATGCCGCGCCAACGTGAGCGAACCGCCAACCAGGGAATTTGTAAATAATCGCCACTTGAATCTCTCGCATACTCGCAGACAGTTGCTCTTTGATGGTTCGACCAAGTTCCCGTTCCTCGATCGCTCGCTTGATTCACGATCTCGCCGGTTGGCTGGTTCATTCATGGATCGACCAGCGACAAATGGAGATCACGAGCACCGTTCCGAGGAAAAGAAAGAACGCGATCGGCTGCCTCGTGCCAGCTACAAGCAACTGCAACGTTGCTGCGAAGGTGAGCGAGATCGCGTTGATGAAGACGGGTCTGTTGCTTTGTTCGTGGCCGAGACGTTGGAATTTATTCGACCAGACGACGCTTTATTTTCTCCCCTCGCTGTGTCTGTCTATTTCATCGTCATTGACAATATACAGGCTGTTCCCTAACACGTGACACCTACTCGGCAAGTGGACACGAGACACAGACAACAGCGCGATGAAACAAATCCTGTTCGATCGTCTTCGTCGTTACAAAATCGTGTAGCCATTATCGCAGACCAAAGTTTCTTCTTCAATCGTTCAGAGAAATACAACGGGGATAAATTAAGTTTCCTGTAATTAAAAATTCCCGCACAGTCCCATGTTCTCCGCTACGATAAAATCTGCGGATTAGCGAAGACGTATTTATTAGCAGTGGGGAAAAAAATTGTGGAAAATTTATGGAGTTGCCGTAACACGCGTCACCTGAAACTCGAGACACAGGTCTAAGAAAATATTGTATAGCGATCGTTATTACTCGAGAGGCGTTAACGAACATACCGATGGTTGGGTCATCAGCCTTCGACTGGTAACCTGCTGGCAATTTCTCTTTAATCATTATTTTGCCATGCATTATTCAACGATACGCCTGGTTTCTTCGATATTTGAATTCGTACGAGGCCTCGCTTATTCACATAGCGGCTACTGTCATTCCGCGATTCCGCTAAATGGTTCCGTTTATATTAGCAAAAACGGAATTTTTGACGATCAGCCTCGTGTTAATGCCTTCCACGATCACCACGACCAGCCGACGTTTAATCTGCTCAAAGGCAATGTTGAAAATTTCGGATAGAACGATACGGATTTGCGGTAATCTGGCCGTCTTTGTGTAATACTTACAACTGTAATCAGCTTCGACTTATCCTTCCACGTCGTCAAGAGTATTATATTTAACTGAGATATGGTTATTATCCTTCCAGAACCGTTTATTCCAAGTTAATTTCCTACTTTGCAATTTCTCCGATTTTTACCATGCACGGCTAATGGCTATTTTTTGAAAGCAACGATATAAAATGTAATTCGCATAGTCGTGTATAGATTTCGAGTAGAGGAAAACTACCGACAGTTTGAGAAATACTCGCGCGATAAAGAAACTTAGGCGCATTTCGATTAAGTGGAATATTAATCCTTGAAGGCTATCATGACGAAAATTTTGTCTTAACACTGCTGCTGCTCTCTTTGTTAATGAGAATTACATTGCAGTGAGTAGCGTATTTTTAAATATCTTCAACGATCGTTCTCGACACTAGGACACGTCCATTAAGGGATGATTTATTCTCGTCACGATACCTTAAGATTGTGTGCTTGTAATTTTACAATATTTCTAAGATATCAAACTTTTGTTCCTCGAGTTATTACGAGCTGAACAAATATCGTGGAAAATAGGCAAGCAGAACAACTATCGTCGATATCATGGAAATATTGTTATTTGCAATAGCTGCGAATAATAATTTTCTTTCTTTACATTACATTACGTTAAATAAATAACAAGATATTTCATTCCTTTTCATTAACTGTATGAATCTTTCTATTTAAAAAAATTGTGACGATATCCTTTAAGCGTTAAAATACTTTTATATTTAATACAAAGGATTTTTGGAAAATATCTCTTCTTACTATTAATTATTCAAATATTATTTCTTCGTCAGTGTCATTTTCCCAATGGAACGGTATATAGTTTCTTATGCATAATGCAATTTCAAGGCAGACGAAACTAAGGGGAAGAATGGGAAAGACGTCGATAAATTAATCTAGAGACGAGGACGTCTCGTAACAAAAAGATGTCCACTCTGCGAGTGATTAATGTGTTTCATATACATGCAGGCTTCCATTTCGTAAAAACAAGTAGAAACCAAGCCATCTTAGAAGTATCATAATAGAATCAGCTTATAGATTTAGTAGATAATTGTCGCAGAAAATGTCTAATTGTAAGGGAAGAGGGAAGTTTAGTCTTCAAGGTGATGGATGAATAATGTGGCATATTCAGAGTGGATTTTTCAGTAACAAAAAGTTCCTCACATTATGACAAAGCTGGGTTCCAGCCTTGTGATCGCTATAAATATGCCTCGCAAGGGAAAAGATACCGATGCATCGTTCTAACAAAATTAATCTTAAATTTCTGCTACGATCGGCAAGAAAACGAGTTGATCCGAAACTCTCGCCAGTCTCGTGAATCACATGTCGAAGAACAGGAAACGAATCTGCATCTCTATTCGGCAATTTCCTCTTTTATAAAATTCCTATCATCGCTTCTAATTGAACCTTCAAAGTATCACGTTATTTTACTTCCTCGTTAAACACGCTATCCCGTAAACCTACATCGATCTAATCTTCTATTGTTCACTATTATTGCACACTACGAAGCTACCGTTCCTCTAAATTTTCCTAATTTTCTAAATTCTCCTATTACGAAATTCCGATTATTATATCAAATTCAACCCTCCACAGACAAATTCCACCGCCGATATCACAAGCACGCGGCTCGACAAACTGCACACCTGTTTGGATCACCTGACGAATAAACAAAAAATGATTGTTGGCGATGTCCGCAAAGGAGAGAAGGAGCTCTCTGTAAAAGAAAACGAATCTTGCACATTAGAAGCTACATTCTGCGGATAAAAACGCGCTCGTTGAAAGACGCGATCTTGAATATTATTGCGAGATAATCGTTCGATGGCCCAATAACTCGCCAGTTTCGCCACGCTTTTTCTTGCGTCCTGATTTACGCGGTTTATCAAGCTACAGCCCCGTGTGACGAGAAGGGCCAACCGGTCGGTGTAGGTTGTCTCTACAATGAAAGTACATTCCCCTCGGGTACTGGCTCGAACGAACGGCCCGCAGGGGTTCCTGGCGTCGTTTTCGCCGCTCCAAATGTTGGGGTTCCTGCTGACGAAGAGGGCGGCTCCGTCGCAACCCCCTTTCGCTCGAGGGGGATCGATCCGGGAACGTTGGTGCGCGCAGCTAACGTCCTCCTACGAACCTAAACCCGAATCCTTACTCGAGGATCCGAAGGAGCGACGTGCCTAATGAAAATGAAAGGAAACCTTTAAGAGCAGGAGATTGACCCACGACCTGCACGCTGCCGGTTACTTGTTTCCGGTTGTCTGTTTCCTTTACTTTGACTTCCATTAGATTAGGACAGAGATATAAAGGCTGATTCGCGCTGGCGGCCAGAGACACGCGGGGTCAGGTCGTCATGCGAGCATCGATCGAGTTCCTTGGATTCTTAGGATTCGTCCATTGACCATCCTGTGGTAGATACGAAGCTGGCAGCTTTAAGAAACTTCCGTGAGACTCGTCGTCCTGCTCTCGTCTTGTCAGCGTTTGCATCGATGCATTCAGAACGTAGACATGGGAGGATGTGTCTCAGACATGCGCGTAAAAAGGCAAATAAATATTGTTCTTTGCGATGATCGGGAATATCTTCTTTTGGCGTCGCGTTAAAGATCCTTGCTTTTAGATTGGCGAAGTTCCTTAAGAATGTCCACACTCTTGGACTGTCGGATGTCGTGCTGCGGTTAGGCTCCATTTACTGTTCTGTCGTCTCAACACTTTATCATCATTATCTCGCAAATAATCCGGAAGCTACACATCGCGGAGTCCTACGTTCAGCTGAACCTTCTTCTATTCTCGGATCCTAAACCTTCTGAATCCGGACACTCGATGGTCCGCTGCTCCACCACCACCACCAAGTGCTGAATTAACAAATTTCCACGCGTTTCGGTCTTCGGATGTTTCAGTTTCCTGTCAGTCGTATCGTCTGCTTTTCCAACGAGAACTTCACAGAACCGTAATCGTATCGATAAGCAAATAAAATAAATTTGTACCGCGACAAGACTCTTCCATCCTCCTTCGACATCTTCAGCCTATCGCGTCTACTTTCTCCGGTTAATCTCGTCTTTCCTATAGAACGCTCAAGCCGTAAACAAGCGAATAAAATAAAGCAAAATATGGAGCAGTTTGGAGACGGGAAGAGAGCTGGTGAAACATCGGGAAGAAGAGATAGGACGCGGATCGTAACGAGACGAACTAATGATCATCGAGCTCGGGAATCGCTCGTCGTCATCGTCGTCGGCGTCGTCGTCGGTTGG